GGATCCAGACCAGCCTGCGCATCCGCGCAGTCTGATTAGGATCCATGCTGTTCGCTATCAGTGTCTCTACTTGTTATAGGGTTTGTAAGCGGATGCGCAGGCTGGTCTGGATCCATGCTGGTTGCAAACTCGTTATGTTGGTTTTGTCGTGACGCGGCTCATATTTCTTATTGAAACTGAAAATAATTTCTTAATACAAGATTCTTGACCTCTTCTCTTTTTGCTGTTTTAGTATTGATTATATGTCATTTTTGGAAAAGTGGAAAAGACAATTTAATAAAACATGTCACTGAATATGTGCGAAAGATGTCTGTTAAGATGGCCTGGATTTCATATGGAAATAAACAAGAAATGTATAATATTTAACTTGTGTGCTACAGAGCAGTGTAAGAAATTAGGATTTGAATCAACTAGGCTGGTTGGACTACCAGATTGGAATAATTACTAGCCCAAAAGACATTTCACTAGCACGATTCATTTATTCATTTATATTGCCTATGAAATTACAGTAGCCTGGTCGGGCTTGTTACTGTGAAAAGTTGGTAGCCTGAGGAGAAATTTAGTGGTCAGGGGCTATCGGACTACTGCTAATTTCGAACACTGACAGAGTACTCTTAAAAAGGGACTTTTAGAGAATGTAAATCCATTAAAACAATTAATGACAAAACTCTGGGAAATGTTTGTTGATTAAGGTGCAACTAGTGTAAAAGACTATCAAGTTTTGATCAGCTCTGGAGATTAGGTGACTCTATATTACTGGGGGTAATCATTCATTACATCAACCATGTAGATATTATGTAACGCCAGGCTTTACAATGGCAAACACTTAAAATCCTTTAACAGTCCTACGCATAAACCCTTCCAGCCTGCTGAATCTCAGTAAGGGCTTATCAGCTAGTAAATTACTATTAACTGTATATCTCCCATTAACACGTCCACTGAGTTGAGAGTTTTGTCATTATTTATTGCCCGTCTGTATTCTTATCTAATGGCCCCAACTTTGAAGGATCAAATTTCTACAGAAGATACAGTCACTAAATTTATCAATGTTTTTTCTCCTTTCTTTTGTATATGGGTCTGTGGCTCAATTGAATTGTGAAACCTAGCAATTATTTGTAAATATACTTTATAACATACGATAATTTTTTAAATTAATAATAAATAAAATAAAGTTCAATTGTTAAGTGTCGCTGTTTCTCATCTTTCTGACTGAACCCCCTCCCGGCCAGCTAAAAAACAAAAACAAAAAACTGTTCATAGATGTAACTTTTACTGAAAAGTGCAAGACTCTTAACTGAAATGACCAAATAAGTGATATTTATATTATTAGCTCGACTATACTAAGAATGTGGTGAGTTGTCCTACTCACCTTGGTTTGCAAGTCGACCTCAGCGTCCATACTTTAAATTAATGTTTATGCGCCTATAACTTCTTTATTTTTTAAGGTATCAATTTCAAATATATATTCCTTATCATCATCCACATCATCTGATAAGGTGCAAAACTCTAAACCCAGTATTTCCAGAACTATATCTCATTGAACTTAAAATAATGTTATATTTTACATGTACTCTAACATCTTCATTTCATATTAAAGTATTGACTTTAAACTTCAAACATGTGTTCCTTATCATCAATTTCATTATATGTGACAATGTTTTTTGGTTTTTTTTAAACTCTCTTTTCCAGAATTATCTCCCCAAAATTTTTTTTCCTCTCAAAAACTGTCACTTTTTACTTTCTTTTTTATTTCTTAAGGTATCAACCTTCTAACTTTAAATATATTTCCTTATCATGTGTGACAAGATTCATAACTGTAGCATGAATATTTCCAGGATTATTTCCCCCGTTAAACTTTTTTTTAAAAATAAAAATTGATATTTTTTAACTTTAAACAATAAAATGGCAATCTTCATAACTCTAGCTAGCATCAATATTTTCAGAATCATCATCCCTATAAGTATGACCTTGACCTTGAAGGTAGGGATAGGCGTCTTAGTCGCGACATGTCGTCTTGATGTGGAAGATATTTATGCCTAGTTATTTTGTAATCCTTTGATGCATGACAGTCTTGATGTGAAAGACATGTATCCCAAGTTATTCTTCCATGCATGACAAAGTTACATTCCGGACACAAATGCTTGAACCTATAAACTTTTATTGTGAAAAGGTGAAACTTCAAAATGTTAGTGTGACCTTGACCTCTGAGGTAGGGACGTAATTCTTGGACGCAAGATGTGGTAGACATTAACGCCTAGTTATCTAAATATCATTCCATGCATGACAAAGTTATAGTCCGGACAGGAATGAAGTGGGGATGCACAGACAGACGGACGTCCAGACAGACAGACAGACAGACAGAAGGACGGTGCGATTTTAATATGCCTCCCTTCTGCGGCATAAAAATGTTTTTATCAACACCTTTATCAGGTGCGATTAGATTTATAACTCAAGTCCGGCCTGTATTTCTAGAATTATCTCCATTTTATTTTTGAATTAGGGATTTATTGAACATTAATATATTTCTAACAATTATCCTTGTTATTATAAATGACATCAACTCTAGACTTAAGATAATTGTCCTTTGTCATTACTCACATCATGCATGACAAGGTTTTTAACTCTAGTATCCTTATTTCAAGAGATATTTCCTCTTTGAACTTAGAATTTTACTTTAAAAACTTTATTTACTTTTGCTTGTATCATTTTGGTACCTTTTTTATACAAAAAAATTCACATTCATCTCTTTTCCTACTAGATTGAATGATAACCTACAATAATGCTTTGAATCCATTATTATTATTACTAAACATTATTTTGCTCCTTCTGAAAAAAAGAAAAAGAATGTAAATCACTGAGGTATGATATAGGCCTTTAATATGAAAGTAATTTACAAAATTATTTTCATTGTGAGTTGTAAGTGATTAAAAACCTTTTTTTACTGTAATCCAATTTTTATTTGTTTTCTTTACACTAAAAAGTTAAATCTTAGTTTTTCGTTACATCTAAAATGTTCTCTATATCTTCCAGCTTAAACTATACATTCTTGAAACATAATAGGGTCATAAAACATTCAAGGGTGCTGCTATCAGTAATACAGTGACAACCCATGTAATTATAATTAAATGCTCATCAGTGACCAGAGATAGGAAATTTTGGGAAAAACTGGAAATCTTGGGCTTATGCGTAGGACTGTTAATACTACAGCTCATCTGCTACTGTAGTGAAATATTGCAGATTATACACCAGTCTCTATTTTAAACCAATAATTAACAAAACACATGCTGGCGCCTTAACTCCCAAGTTTTTCTTGCAATAAGTCTGTATATAGAATTTGAACATAAATCTCTTGTGGATAATTCTGGATGTATAAATCCCATATTGCTATCTGGAAATGTCCCATTCAAATATGATTTACTGGAATAGGAGACATAAGTAATACCCAATTCAAGTATCATCTTAAACAGCAAGGCCATAAACACTTTCTCAAGGCAGGAAAAGTAGAAACAGCCTTAGGATAGATTACTATCTACAATTACACAATCTTGGTGGCCTTAGTAGATGGACCAAAAATATGATCTGTTAAACATTTACCAACAAAATATTTAAGATAATGAAAAAACTTCTTGTGAGAAGTTTTTTTTTATTCTTATTACAGGGTTGCCCCCATTATTCAGCTATATAATCAGATAAGATTCACAGTTCTCTTAACTTGTACGTATTGTTTTCATTCCAAATATTTAATAAAAATCTAAAAATAAATTTCTCAGAGAAAGTTTAATTGGAAACCAAAGGCAAGTTAATTGGAAACAATTTGAGAAGAATCACTAAAGATTGTTGGTATAAAGATTGGTATTAAATAACAACAATTAAAGCTGTTACTATAATTAGGAAGCTAATATCCCATGTATCTAAAATTCTTATCATAATGTCTTTGATATACCAGTGTTGAAATTTGGAGATGTTGGAAGCACAAACACAAGTTCTAGAGCTGTACAATATAAACTAGACCCATTTATCACCAAGAAAAAAACAACAAAACAACCCAACTGTCTTGTCATGTAGAAGTTATTTTGATATTGATAATGCAATCATCGTGTCATTAAGAAGCCTCCCGCACTATACAGTCATTATTCATTTCATAGAGTATAATAAGATAGACCACTGTGACTTAATGTATCATAATGTGTAACTATAATCTCTTTAACCATACATTATATAACCACTATATACAGGAATATACTGATGATTTTATTGTTAAACTTTGGAAGGACTGAAGAAGTCCTTTCCCATTTATGAATACGATCCCCATATCATATTTAGTCAGTCATTCACATGTTTAAAGACCCTTGGGCAAAAGTCCCTTCCCAATAGATGTTTTTCAGAACTCGACAAATGTAGGTTTTCCTAAGCTACTCTGCAGGTACAAACAAACTTTTACCCTTATATAGCTTCAAGGTGCACAACAAAGTGTCACAAGAGATAAGTCAATCTGTTGCGCTTAGTTTTGAAGCCAAAACAGTAATTATAAGTTCGTTTGTACCTATGAATCAGCTTGGGAAAACCCAATTATTCTTAATTCTGGAGTAAGTCTATTATTAAACCTGTCATTATAGGTCAGTACTAAGTTTGTTTTTCCTTATTCAGAGTAATCAAATCACAAAAATAAAGGATATATAAGTTAAGCTGATATGATATAATTATTTAATCCACTGGTGTCAGAATGTGTTAAAATCATGGGAAACAGAAATCAAAAAATTAACTTTATCCCTTGTTAATACCCTTGTTAATTTTTAAATGTGTTGCTCTTAATTAATCCTATTTTACCTTATATAAATGTAGGTCATAAACATAAAATAATTGTATATTATTCATAATACTTATTAATTTTATCCTACTTGCATGATTTGTTCTGGAAAAATGACCAGAACATACTGACCTAAATTCAACTAAGGTCACATATTTACAGAATAATGATGTATTAAGAAAACCATGGTTACCTGATCCTCTTCTGGTCAATGATGGCTCCCCAAGCTCCACAAAGAACTCTTCATTCTTTTCATACTCTTCATCATCAAAGATTCTAACCTTGATAAATTTCCTGAAAATAAAATATACATTTATATAAGATTAATTATATTATACGATAGCTCGGATATCTTATAATTTTTTACTTACCTTATTTTTGGGTATACTTTCTTCTTTGCTATGCTCAAAATTTTACATTGCAATGTCTTCAAACATTTTTGCCATGGTCAAATTTTTGCCATGGTGACAGGACAAATTTTTGCCATATGCCAATGTTTGAAATCCTTCTATTTATAATAAACCTACATGTACAAATCAATTTTTCCATCGTCAAAATGTTGCTATGGTCATTTTTTTGCCATAATTATGCCAATGTTTGCTATTAATGCTTACATAGACGTATGTACAAGTATATATACTGATTAAATTAAATTGAATATTAAATTTTTCTCTATGCATATTTTAATCTTGTGCCATACATTTGAAATATTTACAAAAGCAGCCCAGTGATCAATAAAACATGATTACCAATTCCAAGTGTAAGGAATTTTACACATTGAGGTGACATTATTACACCTTTAAACTCCTCCACATAAAAATTGATGAAAATGCTGTACCTTTAAATTGGCTTTAATTTAAATTTTCATAACACCCGATTCAATCATTATTATGAACTTAAATTAACAGTAAAGCAAGGGGTAATAAATGTTAATAGTGATAACCTTTAGAAATGTATATTAGGCTTAGCTTATTAACCTAGCCCAGCCACAAATACAGTACGTTTTAGGTACAATAGAAGTACCTATAAAGCCCCACAATGTAGTATCAATATGGTATCACTTAAGTACCTGCTTCTAGTGTACTTTATTTTATGGAGCAAAATTTAACATTCACTCGAACAGGGGGAAGTACACTTAAAGCTCCGTCTAAAATATTTAAATTATGCTTCAAAGATACTTCTTTTAAGAAAGCATATATAAAGCATCACTCAGGTAGTACCTACAAGCTCAGCATGGTAGGCTCAGGGAAGTACATTTTAAGTATCAATTTAGGAAGTACCTTTAAAGCTTTACCAGAAGTACAATAGAAGCATCACTTGGAGCCCTTTTAAACATCAGCTTGGAATTAATAATGAAGTACATTTGAAGCACAACATAAAGAAGTACATTTAAAGCATGATCATTTATTGAAGTATATTTAAAGCATCAAACACTATATATCTTAAGAAGTACAATTTAAGCATCAAGTTGAAGTTCATTTAAAGCATCATTGAAGAAGTACATTTAAAGCATCATTGAAGAAGTACATTTAAAGCATCATAAATTACATATATAAAGTTTTAAAAGGTTAAAGGGTATAAATCTATATCTTATGAAATATTTTAATAAACTCTACCAATGGTAAAATAATATTGGTTCCATTTTTATATGATTGATGGTACTGTTAATATAACCCATAATTTACTGAAACAGAAAGGTCCCCTTGCCCTCAGAATGTAAATATTATGAAAAATCATGAATTGCACAGGCATGTAATTTACTGGTACAAAATGTAAAGAAAAGGGCAGATTTAAAATTCCCCCCTCAATAACAATCAGTGAAAAAGATTTAAATTAGGACATATGTAAAATTTATGAAGAGAAACAAGTGTTAATTTAAGGTAAATTTGAAAGGCTGTTACAAATAGTCTAAATAGCCTACCATTATTCCATTGAACAATAGTTAATTTCCATTTCCCATCTGATTGAAGAACTCATTTAATGTCCCATTATAATTTCATTAAAGTTCACATTATAAAGTTATTTCATCTAAGGCACATGTTTAACTTTAGTCCTAAGCATCTTTATAAATTATAAGCACTGAGGTCCAAAGAAACTTCCTGAGTAATATTTGAATTTTCTGAGAGCCAGATTTCTTCAGGATATTAGATTACATGTTGTAAGCCCCACTTATCTAACACTTTCTTTTATATAAGATAAGCGAGTTTAACACAGGCTATTATGAAAACAGCAAGGAGAAACTCTTGACCCCTCACTGACCAATTACACATGGTTTATATTATGTTACAATCACTTGTGTTTGTGAGTTAAATTTTACTCAAGTCTCAAAAGTACATATGAAGTCCCTAGAAATATGCTTTATATTTTCATTTAAGTGTTTAAAGCATCATTGAAGCCCCATTACTGTTCTTATCTATTTATTAATGTTTACAAAGTATCAACAAAGTCCCTGGCACTTCCAGCAGAAGTTCCCTGGGCTTCTACTGAAGCAGGTATGTGTTAGGAAGAGTATACTTGAAGTCCCAGAGGCTTCATTTGAAGTATGGTTTAGGTGTATCATTGAAGTCTGTAGGACTTCAGGTGAAGCAGGTCTTATTATCTGTAAGTATATCTGAAGTACATTTCAGGTATACTTAAAGCTGGGGGACTTACCTGAAGCATGTGCTTCATTTGTGGCTGGGAATTTACTAAAGCACTATTACTAAATATATTGCAGTATGTAGGGTACTGATTTGAGTCCAAAATGCAGCCAACTGTTATACTGTATATAGCATCACAGTGAGACTAAACAAAGCTCATATACAGGCTGGTCAGGTCCTATTTTGGTGCCTAGCCAAGTCTTTTTTGAAATATTTATAATATCAATAAACTTTCCAGTTTTATAAAATTTAATTTAGATATGAAAATGGGAAGTTATGGAAATAAATTTTAATAAAGCCTGTCAATTTTAATATACAGCTATATATAGCACCATGCATTTGATATAAGATAAAATTATGACCAAAGAAACTTCGATATATAATTTTCTCAATTTTCTGTAAATTTAAAGGCACATTTAGCCTCAGAAACAAATAAATTTTCACTTCTTTATAAGGACAAACATGAGCTTATTAACATTTAAATAATGTTTCTAGAGGATGTTAGATGCTTTATTTAAACATTATAAAACTAATGTCTGCCCTATCTAGATAAAGAAAAACTTACTTGTTTCTGAGGCATTCTGTGCCTTTAAGAAATAATAATAAAAGCATTTCTGGGCCTTTAAAGTATATATTCATTCAGAATTACCACACAGTTTGTTCCTTGTCTCATTGCCAAAGTAAAATTCTGTTAACTAATGGTTTATTTCCTAAAATGAAGGCAGTCAACTAAGCATGAAACAAAGATGAAGTACTTGTCCGACTTTATACTTACGTAAATAAATGAAATTTTGTTAATCTGCTCACATCAGATTGGTGTATGACGTAACAAAGTGTCACATATAATTTAATATCTTCATTAACTATTTCTTTTTGTATCTTCACTTTATTCATAAAATATAGATAGAATCTTCTCAAGTATTTCATTGCAAGGACTTCTCTTCCATTTCACTTTAGCAAAAAATTTACGAAAAATGTAAAGTTTTATATGCAAATGCACAAATTTTTGTTTAGATAAATATATTAAATTTTACACTTAAAGTAATAAAATAAAAATTGTTTTCATTCGCATTTGAGCAGTAAATGTTAATAATTTTTCTAACAAAAAAACACAAAAATGCTTTAATTTCAGAAGTTGAATTTATAACATTTACCATTCATAAAAGGGATGAAAGGGAGACCACTCCAATAATAAGAGGTATATTAGTTACTGCAATAAGGTAGTGTACTTCCAAACGCTAACTCAGATAAATCATTTTTCACTTCCAATATTTATCAAATCATTCAATATATTGGACTTGCACTACTTACTCAAGAGATAGGCAAACATATTCAAAACTTCACTTGTAATTTGAGAAACTACCTTACTTTTCTAAAAGCATGTACTTATATCCCCTTATACAAACATTACTACCGAATGTCATTGACATGAAAATAATTACATTTTTTTCCCTCAATTATATGACACTGAACCAAATCAATTAACAAAATACATGTATATATAAATTGTTATAAATTGTAATCGTGTAAATTCGAGACCTTGCTCAATCACCATTAGACTTGTCTATCCTTCATTTATACCTACATAACATACATATAGTAAAATAGCTTGGAACCCTTCAAAGGTGAGTTAAATGAGTACAAATATCAAAGAATTCAATAAGTGTACCTCCAGGACACAATCAAGTTAACTCTGATAATCTCTGCAAGCTGCTGATGATACAGTGATACTTCAAAACACTGATCTTGATGAAACTTCACCAAGCTGAGATACATCATTATCAGCATTTCGACCTCTTTTTCTTACCTACAGGGGGATTTTGAAACAGATATTTATTACATTATCTGCCACAGCCTTTCTATCACTTTGATTGTTCTCATTCAGTTCATTTACACAATAGCCATAATAACATGGTGTTTTCTATTCTGTGTTTTGCTTTGTACTTTGTATAGATAAGATCACAGCAATCCAGCCTCTATTTACCTTATCTATATTGGATGATCAGTGTGTTTTGTTAGTTAGGTCAGGTGAACAATATAAAGTGCTGAATTCTATATACAGAGTATATAATTAATTGGAAGCAGTATCTTACATAACATCGTATAATTGAACCAGAATGCTAAATATCATCCATTATTTGCTTATAATATTTTGACCTTGATTTACTAATAAAAATATATCCCAAAACTCTCAATTAATAAATAGAAAAGATTAAATTAGTCAGGTCTTTATTTACTTCATTTACACCCAATAACCTTCTGAATTTCTTATGGTCAGACTACACAGGTGTGAAGTTGGCAAGGCTCTATGATAAGGGAAGCTTTCAGTTCCAGCAAGATAAAAAGCTCCAGGAGAAGTAACAGAACTACTACAGAAAGACGAAAGCCTCCTTTTTTTGGAAAGCTATCCCTCAATGCAATTTCAGCAAAAAAAGTGGCTACGACAAACATATTGATCACAAGATGTGATCTGTAGATTGTAGAAGCTGACCTCAGCGACAACTGTGGGCAAGCAGGATAACTCCTTTGCTTTAAAAAATACCTCAGTTAAAGTTAGTTGTTGATTTTCCACTTTTCTAATGAATGTTAGCTAATAGAGCAAGCATGCAAAAGGTACATAATTATGATGTATTGATTTTTCAATAAACTTTTTCA